ATTCAAAAGAACACAAAATGAAGACAGAATCAGGGATTATTCCCCCTGTCAAGAAACAAAAAGCTCACCCCCCCGCCCCAAAAAAAGAAAAAAAAAGTTCAAAAGTTTATGTTTTTAAAAGGATTAGAATAATGTGACAGAAAAAAGGGTTTGAGGAGAAAATAAAAATTATTCTGCCATGTTTTGTCCAACAAACATCCTCCTTGTGGCTGGATACTTCGAAGAGCTACTGCCAGTTGACATGGTCTTTGTCTTCATATGCCAATAAACATAGATGAGAATATATATATTTATGCTCATATATATACTCATATATATGTATCTGTGTGTGTCTCAGGGCATTCATAAGATTAGTTATATACATATCACCTCTAAGATGTATGTATATGTGAAATCAATACATGAGAGTAAAGTAACAATATACATATGTATGTACGCAATATATATTGTGAATCATCCACAAATCACTTACCTTGCACAGTGTGAATATTAAAATAAACCTTGTTGTTTCAGAGAATAACATTGCAACAGTTCCTATAATATTACTACCACTGATAAAAAGTAGGAAAGTTGACATAAGACAATGAGTAACTTTGGTGCTATGTACATACAGGACAAAGAAATAAAAGGATGCTGGTTATGGCCATGTGCTAAATTGTGAGTTAAAATTGGGCTATGTGACATGAAAGAATGCTTGAAATTAAAGAGAATGTGGTTTGCTATCATCTGGATCAGGCAAGCTGCTCTTTAAGGCAGTCCAAAGCCACAGTGTTTGTTGGAATTCTGGGAAGGAACACAGAAGGGTGGGTAGGACTTCTGAAACCGCAAAGTGCCTTTAAGTATCAATAGCAGCCTTAAACAAATGCACTACAGTCAGTCACTAAAAAGTAAAGGACTACAATTAACATTTTAAGTTGAAATATTAAGGCACTTTATGTATTCACATGCATTATCTATTTAAATGGATTAGAAAAATTCTGACTACTAAACTAATTTGACAAGCTCAGTCAAAATATGTATCTATAGAAAAAAAAGGGCTGTATTAAACACATTTAAAAGTTTTACAACTAATTTTAATTCGCTAAATCAGATATTATAATTTCTTTAATTACAGCATTGAGATATACAGGATCAAGCATTAAGGTAGCTGGAATAATAATATTAACAAAAAAGAGTTTTTACCAATCCCCCAAGGATGAAGAAGACCATGAAAAGGCGACCAAGGGTTGTTTTTGCATAAACATCTCCATAGCCAACAGTGGACATTGTAACCATCAGTAAATAAACACATTCCCAATATGTTAGCGGTTGATTATTTTGGAAATTTTCCCATGGATCCCCTGAGTTCTCCACCTAAAATGTACAAGACAACATATAATGCATTAATAGAGTTGTACCACAAACTACTGATAGATGTGTGTGCATGCGTGTGTGTGTATATATGTAATTTGGCATATAATATAAACTCTGGCTCCTTACCTGTGATTTATTTTGAACAAATACAGAATCTAACCCCGCCCCAATTATAGGGTTACAGTTCTTTTGCCAATATGTAGAGCCTCGTCACTCATACTGCTTATGGAAAGTATTGTTTTCATTCACCACGAAATAATATAACATTAATGCAGGTAGGTAAGTTCATTTTATAGCAATTTGTTCAGAACTTTTTCAGAGTGAATTGTTCTTGTAATGCAATTATACTTCTCAATGTTTTTGTTTTAAAGCATTACATAGCTATTAAAGGCACTAGTGACATGTTTAGTGATACGTTATTTCTTTTCCAATAAGCCAGCTACTGTGTGTGAAAAAATTTTAAGTTTAGCAGTAGGAAAGGCACATGCTCTCTAAATTGTTCTCCAGTAAAAAGTTTGAAGTTCAAGGATTCCTACACTAAAATAGAGAAACTTATGCTGAAAAACAACCCCAAATCCAAGCCCTATAAAATAGCATTCCTTCCTTCCTGATGTAATTTTTAAAAGTTTTTATTGTTTTTTGTTGTTGTTCTAAAGTAGAAAAAGCTAATGTTTCTATGACAGGAATGCTATATTTGTTCAGAGGAGTGTAAAAATATGGTCATCTGCAAATGAGAAGCATATCAGAAACAAAAACATCCAAAACTTTGATGCATCTTTATACGAGTGAAAATTAAATTACTATCTAGTATATCAAGAACGCAAACATTCTGGACTTAATTTTATATAGCTGGTTGCAGCTCAAGGTAATTTGAGTGAAGTCAACTAAATTCCTCTGGACTAACATCAATATCATTAAATTATAAATTTAGTCCAAAATCATCCCTGAAAAACTTACTACAACTAGCACCTTGAAATTTTCCTGATTCTAAGTTGATTATAAAATGTATTTAAAGGACAAATACTTGACCATATTTGATTATATTTACCAAACAAATAAGTAAAAGCTATTAGTTTAAAATGCTTAAAATACTCTAATTGATATATACCTATATACATATATGCGCATATTCACAGTTATGAACTCATACATACTTCTATACTATCTTTCATTTTTCAGGCATCAAGTGCAGAATACAACAACAACAAAAAAATGTATTACAAAAATCTACATTATCAGTGACCGAAAACTGCACCAAAAAATTTTAAATTTGAAAGATGAGGAAATAATCTCTTAAAAATTGCTACTCCGAACGTTAGCAATCCCATTACTTCTCATGGAAACACAGAACAGCTCCTTTCTGGCAAAACTTTGATTTCGCGGGACCTCAGTACCATTTAATCTCTGTCAAACCCTTCCAGAAGGCACTCCGGGGAGTTCTTTAGGAAACACTGCCACCTACTGCTAAATTGTAATAATTCAGAAAGTTGCATCAGTTCAAATCTCCTATTTTATTCTTGAGGTTAATGATGTATTACTTAACTATTCAGAATTAGTTTTGAGTAGAAGCCTAAAGTTTGGGAAGCTGTGATGGCTTTTTTTTATTCTACCCTATAGATGTGTTAAGGGATTATCCAGAGCAAGGCAATTTCAGGTAATAAAGTAGCTCAGAGAGCAGATGATCCATAGAAAAAGTCAACGAAGTATTTTCAAATATACTTACCAAATGTATGAACCCAGCTGCTGTCAGCCACGTGCTGATAAATATAGAGCAGAGATTCACTAGCTTGATGGAATTACTGAAAATAAAAAAAAAAAAAACAACAAAAAACCACAACAACAAATAGGAACTTAGACTGGATTTTATCACGTATTTTTAAGACGTACTTGTATACAATGGCATACTTCAGACTGAAAGAGTCTGGTGATGATTTCTGAAGAGAAGTAAGCTCCATAAAAAACTTAATCGAAAGCCTATGCAAAATACATATTATTTTGTCTTTGCAGAGTTCACATTTGCATAATTTAGATAGCTTGAAAGAAAAATTTCAATGCATTTGAGAGCAGTAAGATAAATAGAAATCTTAGCTACGTCTTCACTCATAATCAAACAAATAGAAATAAATAATGCTTTTTCATAAGTAATTTGGTTGCCTCTCAGTAGAGTTACCTTCTCATTTTTCATTGCTATACACCTCAGCAAATACCCTGAGTACATGTAAATGTTCTGGTACGCTGGAATACACCCATGAAGGTCCAATTAAATAAACTGTGCAATGTCAATTAACATGAGCTGTTGAACATGGCATTTATACAGACAATTGACTGATTTTTCTGAATTATTTCATTTTTCGTATGCTTCCTCTATATTCATTGTGCTTTTGACCCCAAACCCATGGAGGTTTTAAAAATTAACAGTAAGAGCATGTTTTTGTTGCATATTCATCACATGTTAACATTTGCATACATGACCACAGGACAAGACTATTTTCCTAAGCTATGGCAAAGAATTAATGAACTATTGCAGCCAATCCATAAATGTCATGCTGCTTTTGTGAGGAAAAAAAAAAAAAAAAGGAAAGTTTCCCAAATTAAAAAACTTCGGTATTTTACAGTTCCTGTGTAAAGTCCTAAGTAATTTTCATATTACTCTGCTTGTATGAATTCCTACAGACCTTGCTCCTAAGGAGCAAGTTCAGCTCTAAGGAGCTCAGTTTAGGAATATATCATACTTAAAAGCTTGTGGAAGAAATATAAGTAAAGCTCGTTCTCTCTCTTCTTACAAAAATCACTATGATTTCAAAAGCTAAGAAGGATATTCAACAAACACACAAGGAACTGAAGTCCATGTATTACTATGCCTAAATAATCTTACTCATTCACAGAACTGTATTGAAAATAGCTCTCCTTTGGTTTTGAAAAAGTTTATTAGAAAGAACAATGCCTCAAAAAAATCACTATTATTCCTAAAGGAATACATTCCAAAAGAATAAAAATTAGGAAAAATTCACTATCAGTGTTCGCAGTAGTAGTTTTGCAGCAGAATTAATTAATATTTCTAACTACTTTAAGGACAATAGAAATGTATTATTTTCTAAACAAAGTTGAGAAATGAACCTGGAAAATAGATCAGACCAGCTCCACTAAAAATATTTGAGAGTTACAGTTAGCAAAGTGGTCATCTGTGGGTACTAGGAAATACAAATGGGTAATATGACAGATGCTATAAGGGACACTGTACTCAAAAATAAGATAACATACCAGCAGTTCTGCAAAGAATTAGTGTCCACCTACATCAACACATATTCCCCATTTCTCTCTTTCTTAAGACATAGAATCATAGAATGGTTAGGGTTGGAAGGGACCTCAAAGATCATCTAGTTCCAACCCCCCTGCCATGGGCAGAGAAATCCTCCACTACACCAAGTTGGCCCAAAGCCTCATCCAACCTGACCTTGAAACACTGCCAGGGATGGGGCATCCACAACTTCTCTGGGCAACCTGTTCCAGTGCCTCACCACCCTCAATGTAAAAAATTTCTTCCTTATCTAATCAAAATCTGCCCTCTTTCAGTTTAAATCCATTGCCCCTTGTCCTATCACTACACGCCCTTGTCAAAAGTCCCTCTCCAGCTTTCCTGTAGGCCCCCTTTAGGTACTGGAAAGCTGCTATAAGATCACCCCGGAGCCTTCTCTTCTCCAGGCTGAACAGCCCCAACTCTCTCAGCCTGTCATCAGCAAACTCGCAGAGGGTGCACTTGATCTCACTGTCCATGTCGTTAACAAGGATGTTAAACATATGGTTGATTAAGGTTCATATTTTGTTGGTGATAACATTCAATCATACCACAGGACCTTAATCAATAGGTTCCTAGATTAAACAAAATCATAGAAATCATCCTGATGCAAAGCTCCATTATGAAATGCTAAATATCATCCTTCACCTGAACTTAGAATAGGAGAGGGTCAGGTGGTCTCTACATTTTATTGTAATAGAAGTAAATGACAGGAGCCATTAAGAGTAACTATTTACATGACTTTTTTTGTACGTTTTACTTTTGCAAATTTATTAAACATTGTACCTTACCTCTCCTCTATAAAGTACTCCCTGTGTTTCTGCCAGTCTAAATATAGACAAAGGATTAGTCATAAACATTTTCCTCCTCTTTAAGCTCCTTCCAACATCTGTGCAAAATCCCTTACTGTGAGCCCTGCCTAAGCCTCTGTAGTTTTGTTGAAAAATATTAGAAAATAAGGGAGAGAAATTTTCAGCTGAACATCACACAATTCATTCTATTTCATAAAACACAGCAACAAAAAATATGAAGTAAAATACTTTCAAATTTTACTTTCAAATTAGGGAAACAAATAGATTCTTAGCAGAGTCCATATGGTCTTTTAATACTGCTGTAAAATCTTGCTTTGCCTTGCTGATTCTTTTCAAATATAATTAAAATATTTTTCTGATATTCTAATAATTATTGAACACTTACACTACTTTGCTAGTCTTCTCACTGCCTCTATTTTTACATTGTTTAGCTTCTTCCTTTGGATTCCAGTGTTTGGAATGGCTTTTCTGCCCATTGTGTAAATAATATATGCTCCTTTAATCCTCATATCTCAGTCACTAATTCCAGGAGTAATTTTAATTTTGAGGTTACAGTAACGTTTTTTCTTTACTGGGAGAAAGGGGAAAAGGACAGAATCTCTCCTCTAATTGCACCAAATATTAAAAACACAGCAGTACCCTTTATACCCTATCAGGTTTTCATCTTGTCCATAGTTACTTGTTATGAATGATAAGCACACTGAAATGTCTCTAGTCAAATTAGTTCCTTTTTTTTCATATAAACACATATCACCTCAAACAGAGAGCACTTTTATCATTTGCAGAATTTTTAAATAATAAAAAATGTTAGTGCTTTTTTTTCCTATACTATCATTTCAGAGCTAATAATGATATACTGAATTTGCTATCTTTCTTCAACAATTCACATTCTGTCATTAATCCTCGGTCTTTACATTCACAAACAAACAACTATGTTGAAAATTTCATTAAAAGCAGACTACAAGAAATACTACAAATATCTTAATTCTACAAGTAATTTTTAACAATCCCTGAGCACAACATTGTTGCAGTAGCTGGTCAAAAGCACACAATACAGCTTAAGAGTTTAAGGTAATAATAACAGTTTAAGGCCACTGTACGTAATTGAAATCACTGCTTGAATTTAGGAAAGTAAATTTTATTTAATTAAAAATAGATTTATTAAGACTACTACTTTAACTGCTCTAACTCTTGCAAAATTACTAAAGATTGTTCATTAACCACAAGTGCTGAGCATGCTGCTTTTTTTTTTTTCTGAGAAAGATTGATAATGCAGAAATAGAAACTTTCAATTACAAAGTATTGCGGTACTATAACAGAAAAAGCATACCCACCACATAGAATCATAGTCCTTATTTGTGATGGTACTTAACAACACGCTGAAAATACGAACATTTCTCATTGACGTTAGCAGTAACAGTAATAAATGAATTTTCTAAATTTTTGCTTTTTAAATGCTAAATTCATGTACGACAATAAATAAAACCCAAGGCACTCACATGGTCAAATTTATGTTGGGTGTAACTAAAAACTTTTCTAAAATAAACTACATTCTCTTCATTTGTTTTAATTTGATTCATTCATTTACAAAATGATGTTTTGTGAACAATGACAGTATTCCAAATTATTTAGTTAATTTCAGGTTATTTTAGTAAGATACAAAAGAGAGCAGACTTGTCTGTCTCTTGAAGAAACCAGGAACAGGGAGAGACAAAAAATTGTTTTGAGGCACTGACAATTTTTAAGTTAAATAAATGTGCTAGTGATGAACTGCTGGGGATTAGTCAACTGAGTAAACTGAAACAGTCATACAAGGAAGCTTTGGTTTACAAACGTTCTAATAATCAGCACTTGAGGTGTAGAGATATTTAGATATTTGTATAAACAATGACAGAGATTACAATATCTAATCTAAGAGTAAATTTTGCATCAGAGGAATGCTATTTAAATGAACAGGTCAATATTGAATAAGCCAGCTCTGAATACACTGAATGTGATTAATGCAGTATCCCTTCATTTATAGATCTGGAGGTTTACAAATCCACCACTCCTGAAGGAGCTTTTAGCCTTTATTCAAAATCCTTTGAGATTATGGGGCTTCTCCATTGACTGCCATTTCTCTTGGTGAGGTTGTTCTGTGTGTTAACTGCAAACTCACTGGATATTCTGAGCTCCTGCACAAATTATTCTCCTCTACCACAATGGTCATATGCTAAGCTACTGGACTACATCTTCACTATGCATTCTTTGATTTCTTTACAATTACACAGTTAAAGACAGACAAGACAGCAAATAGTTTTACAGCAAAGAGAGTAGTTTCAAGGTTAAGGGTGGAACAAACAGTTGTTTACTATGAGTGTGTACAAATCTTGAAGCTCTATTTCCCCATCTCTACTAATTAACACAGCAAGTAAATCGAGTTTATACTTGCATATAAAGCCCTCACACATGCACCATCAACTGGTGGAGACAGCACAGGATTTCAGAATGAAACTGAGTTTACAGTAATTATTGGAAGCTGGGTTCAATATTTCATCTGCGGTATTTTAGGGAATGATGAAAAGAAGTATGTCTTTAACCAGGAGGAATGGGAAGGTTCCTTTTTATTTCCTTCAAAGTGATCTTTTATTCAAAGCTGTGCTTCTTCCATACGACTTTGATGTATTAATAGCCCAAAGAATCAGTGAAATACAGAAGGTTACCTGGAGTATTTTAATTATTCTTTGAACAAATGCTAATGACAGTGAATATAATCTAAAGAAAGCTCAGTGTAAAATTATTTTTTAATATGTTTTTGATGTGAAGAAGGATGCTCAGTTCAAAAAAACTGAAATAGAGTCACAATGATTATTTCTCAAAATACTTTTTAACTGTATTCTTTTGAATGAATTTTGATTTCCACTTTTCTGAGGCAGCAGAATATGAACTGATTACATGGAAAAGCAGCAATGTTTAGTCAGTAGAAAACTCTGTAATTCATTCTACTTTTAATTTATCACCACAGTCTTGCTCAGATATTTCAAAAGTAACAATACATCAAGTAAAATCTACTGATCACATAGCAAAAGATGCTGATGCTGATAAATCACTCATCAGCAGAAAAAGGTTTAAAGAACAGATAAGTAGTTTTTTCCAGAAAAGAAAATCATATATTACTAGGACCACAAACCTAAGCCATTTATGTTCTGTCACCAACACAACTAACTCAGTACGTAAGAAAAGGTCTTACCTTGTTTTAAGGATATTCAGAAACTGCAAAATTTCTGAAAACTGTATCAGTCTAAGAGCTCTTAAAAATCTTAAACCTGCAGTAAAGAAAAAAAAACACACCTCTAATAAAGAATAATTCAAATGATAACATTTCACTTACAACAACAGTGATCAATTAAATCAACATAGGTAGCATACAAAATATGTCAAATACCTTTGAAGTGTTCTTCCATGTTTAATGGTTCCAAGATCCTTACCAGGTCTTTTTCAAATTGTTTTAAACTTATTTCCTTAATAGCTGAAGTATCCTACCAGAAAAACCTTAGTTTATGTAGGAAGCCATGGGAGGAGACATACAGGCTGAAAGCTAAGGGGAAAAAACCTCACTGAGGTTCTGTTGATAATTCTAGTGCACATGTCCTCTTCCAGGCAAAGACACACACAGATCTGAAACTCCTCAGTCCTCCAAGCTCCCACGTTGCTTAGTGAAAAATACGAGATTATGGACAAGAGATCTGATAACCTGGATAAAGTAGACTGTGTATATGCCTGATTAAATTGGTAAATCTTAATGACGTAAAATCTTTTATTATAATAATGCTCCCTATCTCCACCCTAATTTCAAAAATCTCAAGCAGAAGAACAGAGAATCGACAGATTCTCTTTCAAAAATGACAAATTCTTTCAATCAGACAGTAACTATAGGAATAGATTACAATTTGGCCATTAAAGAAGTAACTATTTTTACAAAGAAATAGCATTTTTGCGTTGAAATCAGATTGTTTGAATAGCAATTCCCAGACAACTACAAAGCCAGCGAGACATACACAAAGAGAGTGTGAGCAAGATAAAATACTATAGAAGATTAAGAGCTTAAATTATTAAGAGACTTATGCTGATAGTAAATAATGTGACTGCAGATCTTTGGCATATGAATAACAGTACATTGTGCATTATACATATGCACAGCTTATAAAATTAAAATAAAGCTTTGAGGATAATTTTTAATAGACAGTACAGCCAGGAGTTATATAAAAGTTGTGTAACACGGTATTGCAACTGCTAGAGTTAACGTCCAGAACAGCTTCTTCTCATACATCCTCTTTTCTGGCATTTATTTTATAAATAAAATAAATGCCAGTAAAGTGCCCATTTCAGTGCTATAAATCACTTTTTTTTTCTAGCAGCTTAAGGAAAGACTGGTCCTAGAGAATACATAAACCTGGTCACAACTTTCATCATCTCAGTGGAGTCGAGAGGTTCCCCTCAGGCCCAAAGATGTATGTGGCGAGATGCGTTTAAATCAAGGCTTTATTTCTGCAATATTCTTGGAGTGTTGTTAAATAATATTCTTACTCTTGCTAAGGCTCATAAGTAGTCTTATTAAGGCTCATAAGTAACCTTAAAGTAGAAAATCACTCCTGTCTATTACATGGATATAAAATTTCTTTTGAAAACTGGACTAGAAGAAAAGCAATAAAATGATGGTTAATAATTATAAATTTCAGTTCAATTTACAATTAGAGGATGATCATTTTGGATCATAGTGCTGAAACTGAGACAGACATGTCCCTCTACTCCACTTGCAGTGGTTCCCACAGTTGCTTCTCTTATCCAAAGAGATGTGGCTGGTCAGGGATGGAGACGACCTTTACTAGCAACCCTAAACTTTCTCAGCTCTGTTCCTTCCAGCTACCTCCCTCACTCTGCTCCCCAGGACCTTTCTGGAAAACGGCTGGTGGGAGAAAAATCCTTCCTTTCAAATGCTTTGCATTGCATCCGAAGTTAATGATATAGCCAAGTTACCCACTGCAATGTTTTAAAAAGAAGCCTGAGAAACATCAAAATTAGCAATAAACCCTCTATCTCCAAACCCTTACAACGCTTCAGATATATTTTAGTTGCTGAGATATCCAATGATAAAACAAAAAGACTATGGCTTAGAAGTATTTTTTGTGAAAGAAGAATATCATTATGGATTAAGTTCTGCATTTGCTACAGCCTGCATTATTTTAAAGAATTCCCTTCAGATAATAGAATTAAAAAAAAAAAAAAAAAAGAGTGGAGAGTGCTTGAACAGCTTACATGAAATACAAATACAACTGACTCGTAATAGTGGAAGTTTACAATCACCTTGTAACTTCTGTATCTTGTCTAGGACATTACTGGTGGGGCTGTGTTTTATAGCTAAAGGAATTATTATATAGAAAAGATCAAATTTTGATCTCCAGAAACCTCAGTGCAATACCTGCTATGTGTGGTTCAAATATGAAGAACAAAAATGAAATGAGAATCAGTTTTGCTTACCATGATGGCAAATAATTTTTTTCGAGTATTCTACACTTCTGAAGAACCAAACAGACCTGTTATTAGATTCCTATATACATATAATTTGATATGATTTTCATAGAATCACAGAATAGCATCGGTTGGAATGGAACTTTAAAGATCACCTAGTTCAACGCCTCTGCAATGAGCAGGGACACCTTCCCCTAAATCAGGTTACTCAAAGCCCCGTTCAACCTAGCCTTGAACACTTCCAGGGATGAGGTACCCACAGCTTCTCTGGGAAACCTGTTCCAGTGCCTCACCACCCTCTGAGTGAAGAACTTCTTCCTTAGTCAGTTTAAAGCCATTTCCCCTTGTCCTATCACTACATGCCCTTGTAAAAAAGTCCCTCTCCAGTTTTCCTGTAGGGCCCCTTTAGGTACTGGAAGGCTGCTATAAGATCACCCCGGAGCCTTCTCTTCTCCAGGCTGAACAGCCCCAACTCTCTCAGCCTGTTTTCATAGCAGAGGTGCTCCATCCCTCAGATCATCTTCGTGGCCCTCCTCTGGACTTGGTCCAGCAGCTCCATGTCCTTCTTGTGTTGGGGACTCCAGAGCTGAATGCAGTATTCCAGGTGGGGTTTCACAAGAATAGAATAAAGGGGAAGAATCACCTCCCTCGACATGCTGGCCACGCTTCTTTGGATGCAGCCCAGGATGCGGTTGGCTTTCTGGGCTGCAAGCGCACATTGCCGGCTCATGTTCACCTTTTAATCCACCAATAGCCCCAAATCCTCCTCAGGGTTGCTCTCAATCCTTTCACCTCCCCATTTGCATTGGGACTGCTTCGACCCAGGTGCAGGACCTTGCACTTGCATTTTCTGTACTTCCTGTCTTGCAAATAATCTGTGAGTTCCATCATCCCAGCAAGAAAGTGGCATTTAAGAAGCATTTTTTCCTATGTTCCTAGTATCAGGATATAATAAGGCATAAGCCTTATTAAAAGGCACCAAGAAAAGGTAAGTTTTCCAGATCAAATATTGAAAACCTCATAGACAAAGTACTGTGATCCTGTATGATGCTATCTCTTCATATTTTATAGACAAATTGTTTATATTTATTTAGCTTTTGTAGAAACATCAGTCATATTAGAAAATTGAATTTTTGTATTTATTATAAAATATATTCTATATTAGTAAAAAAAAAGTCCTCTGGTAATCAATAGGAATAGGAAATAGAGAACAGGAAAACCCTTCATGACAATACACCTTTTTAAAGCCCATACAAATTATGTATTTCAAATATTTTCAATGCCTATTAAAATTATATTCTCAGTTTTGCTTCAAAGGACCTCTAAAAGTCTTTTTTATGAAAACCTAATTGCAATATAATATTCTTTCCAGCTATTTAGAGACATCATCTCATACAAATTTCATCAGCAGAATGAACATTGCAGGAAAACACTTTTGTTCGCCCTGACAGTCACTGTTTCTGACCAGGTGCTGAACAAGGAGTACAATCTGTCTCAGTGGGTACTGCATTTAGTAATGAATCTACTGGTTCACTTCTGAGTTTTATAATCCCCTTCAGCAGAAAATCTAGCCAACTGAGGGCTTTAAAATCCATTTGACATTAACTGTCAGAGTCAAGGAGAACCCGGCTCAGGAGGAATTAATAATAAATTATTCAGTAGCTACCTTATGAGTCCACATAAGATTAAATTAAAACAAGTTCAATAGAAAATATTTTGCTGGGTCTAACTCGAGTAATTATTGAGAAAACATCTGTAAAAAATAGCCTGTCTGAAAAATAATTGCATGTGATCAGTAACACAATGCCCTATGCTGTGCTCTCTCACTGTTTTCAAACCAAATTTGACTTACAAGTAAGAAGATGGTCACTCTTTCGGTCCACCAACTCATGAAAGAATGGACATTTTTGATGTTTGTTTATGCATCGAGAATAGTAAGCAAAATTCTGTAATAGGAGCACTAACAAAAATTCCCATTTTCTCAAAGCTGACTCAGCTACATATACAAATGAGTACACGTCTCTTTCCTTAGCAATATTTGGTAATGTATTTTATTCATGAGGAAGAATAATTTCTTTTAATATGAAATAACTACAAAACTGTTTTACATTTAAATGGTATAATCAATAGTTCAAATAGGGTAAGTTTCTAATGAATTACAGTAAAGTACATTCTAATTTTGCACATTTTCATAGGATCTTGGCTGCTAAAGTTAACTGTAAAATACTGAATGGAATGGTCAGAAAGTACTTGCTGGTTTTTCTCCATCATGTCACCCACCTTTCTCTTGACTAGAGGTTTTGTATCAGAATTTTCTTACAGGATCTTACTGGAATAGGATATAATATTCTATACAACTTATACCAAAAAAAAGTAAGTATCAAAAGATTTAATTTACCTAGAAAATCTCTCTAATCACGGGAAAAATATACAGATAAAACGAAGGGCCTCTTCAGTTTGTCAGTCTTCTGCTTCTAAATGGATGACTAAAGTATGCTTCTGAGCTGAAGTTTATTTCAGCTGCAATACCCAGGATAAAGCTAAGAGATTCATAGATTTCTAGCCCAGAAAAAACCTTAATGATTATCAAACCAGATTCTTTTAACAGCATGAGACAAAGAATTTTAGTTAATAGTTTCTGTCTCTAGTACAATAATTTTAGTTGTAGATATGACGATTCAAATGAACGTCCAAGAATACCACAGGATTATTTTCTTAGTGCGAAAATATTTGTTTAGCTGTGTTGCCTGTACAGCTAACAGACCATTTTCAAAGTACACTGAAAATGTAAAATATGTGTGTAATATGTTCTATTATTTCTACTAGGTAATTTCCTGGATAATGTGTGGTGCAATTTTATTTCCAATTTTGAGTGTTCAACCTGGAAACCGTTAAAACGAAACTAACATACAAAAAAATCCAAACAAACAAAAAAATCAAAATAAAACTGTCACACCACCACCAAAAAAACCCCAGGAACCACACCTGTCTCCCAGAGATCAAATGCCTACCTCCTCAAATTTTAGACACTGAATTTAGATATGAAAATTTGACACATCCGCATCTTTCAGGCTGAATTTGAAGAGTCGCTAAGAGAGGCCAAATATCACCCCAAAAACTGCAATCAGTCTTAAATATTACAGAAATCAATGATCTGTACAATAAGAAACAATACAGTATGTTGAAATACTGGGCTAGATCTAGAATACGACAGGAATAATTTTATTCATTTCACTACATACTTGTTCAGTTCTGTGAGGTGAGGTGCAAATACTTTCCAGCTATTGCTTTCTGACACTTTACTAAGGACCCAGGTAAAATGGATGCTTTAGACTAGAATAGTGATATAAACATGACCAATAAACTATGTGCCAGTAGCAATGCAATTACAGTAGAAAATTATTTTCTCTATAAAGTTTACAGCAAAACAAACATCATTATTTTAAGCTCTATTTGAATTTACAGTCTTAAAGGTGCTGAAATATGGTATTTTCCTGTCTAATGTTAGACAGTTTTGCAGTCTCACTGCTTAACTGATGCTTTCCACTAGATTAATATGCAGCAGCAATCAGGATTACCCATAGGTCACAAACCCCTCAAAAAAAGGAAATTTATGATTCTACACCAATAAACGGGAAAAGGAAGCAATAACAAGTAAACTTATTTGTCTTTTATGAGATTTAAAAAACAAAAAAGAATTGGGATACTTCTTCAGTCAACATGAGAGGTCAATCTACCAGAACAGCATCAAGCATTACATTATTTCTCATCAATGAGATACATAATTCCATTTCTTATTGCCATATGTTGCTTTTTCCTCCTTTTTGACAATAGCATATCCAAAATATTGGTATAAGGATCCAATACACAGAGATTCCATATACCATTTCTATCCCTGACGAACCATTTACCCATTCATCAGAATGGTATCTTCATCAAATCTATCAATGGCTACTTCTATCCTATGTATCATTAAGACCATATGGTTCACTGAAGACTGAACAAACAAGAATCTATATTTAGGAAATCAGAACCTTTTATGAGACAGATGTAATAGAGGGGTAATTTTTAGGATGCAAAATAATCCAATCCTGAATGTCTTCACACAGTGCAGCAGAACAACCTCAAATTCCAATCCCTGTAGACAGGCTTGAAAATGAAAGTTCAAAGAACAAGAAGAAATAACATGGGAGGAAAAGAATCTGCTATTCCATGGAAGCAACACAGACAAAAACATTTTTATACATTTCCCTACCTCTGTTATGCAAGTGTAAAAGCAGGGAAAACAGCCTACAGCATGAAAAAATGAACACTCTATGAATCAGGACAGTAAAACTGCTTCAAGTTCAGAATCTAACACAGGTTGGATATTAATTGCTTTCAAACAATGCAGTATCAAAGACTTGTTAATAAACTTCTCTGCTGCACATCTCTTTAATTTGCTTTTACATCTGTTAAAATAACGACAGCAGTTTTAAAAATAATTTTTTATTAACTCCACCATTGCAGAACATTACATTCCATCCTACAGTAAAGACTGAATTACTTGATTCTAGGTGAACACAGAACTCCTTTGATGAGGGAGACACGGGCACATTACAGCATGAGAGTTTGGAAAGGAATTTTTCCTATAAAGCAACTGAAATACTGTAGCATTATTTTCAAGTTGAAAAATTAAATGTAATATCTTTTTAGAAGAGAATAACACTAGCACCAAAGACAGAATCACAAACTATAGTTCTGAAGGAAAAGTTTAGAGTTGGACCTTACCCCAGTACGAGCCGACCCTATAACAAGACACCAAGGAGTTTCGAAAAGTATGTTGTTCTTCCTTTTCAGGGACATTATGTCCAGCTTTGACACGATATCCATTTTGGAACAATTCTCCAAGAGATTTTTTACGCCTTCTAGTACTTTTATAAGTTTCTGTACGCGTGCCCCCAGAAGGGTTGTGGTAGACTAAAATCTTGCTGGAAATCATGGCTATGTATCTTCAGCTTCAGGAGCACTGCACATAAGTATTGTGGTCCAGTCTTCAAACACAGCATCCACTAACAGCGAAGATAGTCACATATTTATCCTTCTTTTTGCTAATTCAGTATCAACATGGAGAGACAGCTCAGAGTTCTTTCTTTAACGGAACTTCTTTGGAAGCAGATTTATTTAACTGGACACAGGATAATGGCAAGTTCACCTTTACATGTTGTACCAAAAGATAATTCAGTATAATCTAGTCCATTTCTGTTAGCATGAAACAAGTAGAATTAATTCAAATACAAAACTCAGCCTCACAAAACAGAATAAGAGTATCACAAACTGGATGGACAAAACAAATCACAGAAGCAGGCAGGCAGTGCAGATGCTCCTCTGATCCGTGATGTATTAGAGCTTAAAAGCCATCTTCTATCCGGATATTACCACATAAGCTTCTTTCAGATACACCAAAGAACCACACCCATTGATCCAAAACCCACAAATGTGATGCTGTTCACTTGAAATGAACAGGTATTCTCATAAAGAATATAGGTTTTGCAGTTCATGTACATAAAGGGAATTGTTTACTGTGTATTATTTTCTTTGGTAACTTTACATATCTATTTTCCAGTTAAAGTTAGTATGCAGAAGGCAGAGGTCGCATAATCAGCCAACTCTGACAGGATTTATCCCAGATGAAATAAAAAAAATCCAAAAAACAACAAATAAACACAACAATCCTTCATCTAATCCCAGTTAATGACAGTTATATTACTGAAGGGAAAAAAAACCCAAACAAATAAAGTTAGCCATTAAGCAAGAGCACAAGGAACAGAGCGCATTAGTTCTCTCAAGCAGACTCACTCTGTGAACATGCATGAAACTGGATTTTTGTTCAGTCAGCTATCATTTCATTTGATTAGAAAAAGGTCTTTAAAATAAAATGTAGATGCGAGATATTGACATGCTTTCTTAGTCAACTTTCCTACTTTGAGCATAACATACAAACTTCATCTTGAAAAGCTATCTTCATTTCGAGGAATATGCTTATCATTCCTATTTTTTGTTCCAGAGGAGCCGCTAAGATATATATGCCAAAAATATATCAATGCCATCTGGAGTACAATGCAAAGCGGACACAAAAATAGACTGCACCATGTGCTTATAGGAAATGCACAGGATCTCAAAGCATTTGGAAATGTTATTGAAGAGTGACAAAGCCAAATATAGACATGGAGAGAACAGTATACACAAATTTCAAGTAATACGCAGGGAGTGACTCAGAAGCAAACCCCTTCTGTGACTCTTTTACATTGTAACCTTTACACTACGTTCTTACAAATAACCTGGTCATGTTCCCACTGGTCACAATAGTAAAGTTCCACTGAGTCTAGTGGGAATAGTTTATGATTCTTTCCATATGCATGCATGCATATATGTAATATCTCTGTGAGCACTTGAATCATTCCTCTCAAATCGGAAAGATTTAAACAAGGTAGTACTTATCTGTGTTACTAATCACATTTTGCACAGCTCAAACGAAAAAACATCCCACTTCTTACCACATAAGGTAAATTATTTTTCTTTATTTTTGTATTTCATCTTGAATAGTATTATAATCGTGTTATTATCCAATTTTAAACCTATCATTAGTGTACTTTGTGCTCAGTACAGCCAACGTTTGGGTATAGAAGCTATTTACCTTGTGAGCCTAGAACACCTCTAAAGGAAAAAAGTAGCCAAGTAATAAATAGTAAGAATCAGGCTGTTTAGTTTATATAATCTATATTTTTGTTTTAGTAATTTGACAGTGTTCCTTTAACTCTCTCAGCTCCTTGGCATAGCCAAATTTTTAACAATTTTCTCCCTTCTTCTGTCAGTGCACTGCTAAATCCATTGTTTACATCAAAATCTGAAAGAATGAATTAAATGACAGAAACGGGAAATAAATCTAAAATACACCTGTTCCACAAGTTAAAAAAATATGAACCTAAATTTTAGCAACAGCAGGATGATGAAATATTGTGCTGAGAAGCACTATTCGGCATCACAGACAATGCCACACAAACATGTTTGTATTATTTTCCTGCGCAGACATTTCCGCTTTCCAATGGAATGTTTTTTAGTATTTTGTTCTACAGTCTGATTAGAATCACAGAATGGTCAGGGTTGGAAGGGACCTCAAAGATCATCTAGTTCCAACCTCCCTGCCATTACATAAGACAGCTGATTGTTTTCAGTGAGGGTACAGTTCTCTACCATCTATATTGTCTATCTATTACTTGGCCACATTTTTCATACTAAATGTAAAATTAGATTACAGAAAACTTTTCTCTGTAGGCTAAATCACTTTTTTCTTCAGTTGTCAGGAAAACTACCTTTTAGATATCCCATTATCTAGGTCAGATGAGCATCTGAGTGACAGTCTGAAGTCAAATTAAGCAGACAAACTGGAAAAATAGCACTGTTTCCAGTGTTTCTGTACCTTTTCCTACCCCTGTGAAGGGGACAGTTGACAGTCTCCTTGTCTGAGGTACACTTAAAACTCCTAAACTCTGTGTTACAAGAAACGCTGGTGATGGTTGGATGAGGCTTTGAGCAATCTGCTGTAGTGGAGGGTGTCCCTGCCCATGGCAGGGGGGTTGGAACTAGATGATCTTTGAGGTCCCTTCCAACCCAAACCATTCTGTGATTCTATGTGTGCAGTCTGCTCTGAAGTATTTAATCCAAACTAATCAACATTCATTCTGTTCTAAAGAGCTCTAGGATGACTTGTTAAAAAAAACTGTACTTTCAATGAGCCCAAGCTATTTAAAGTATGTTATGAGTGAAGTTTTCCGTATTTTCAACAGAAGCATGTTCTTAGAGCGCATCACTCCATTACCCTCCCTGAACTTGCCATAAAAATGGATTGATATGAAGCATTGCTACAATTAAGTGACAACTTGCTTTCAAAGTCCATCCGAATGTGAAACTATTAATCTCAATTATGCAGGAGAAGAAAGCAAGACTTCTCAGTAGCTGAGCTCCACTTTACCTTTGGAAATACAGGAACTAGGTGCTTGCTATACCATCTTGCAAAAGGGCAAGGGTAGAATCGATTGTTGGCATAGACAATCAATGCATTGGATAGAAACAGGTGTCAAATTACTGTCCTCTAAAGCACAAGTTAGACAGGGATGACTGACTAGCTGTGCTTTTGCAGGATACTCTCTGCTTACAGTTGTGCCCTGTACAAAAGGGCCCTAGAAAAAAACATGAAGCATGAGGAAACTTGCCATTGAGAAAAATAACTTTGTTATATCCAGTGACCATTCTCTCCTTGAAAATTACTTTTTAATTTATTTTACAGTAAGGCAACACAGAATGTTCCACATATTATTTTTCCTCTCTTTCAGGTTGCTACTTCTGAAATTACAGTGTAAAAGTCATTGTTCTATAGAAACGGCCCATAAAATTTTCATTGGTCCTATTTCAAAAAGGGTGAAAGTATTCCTCATTAAAAAACAAAACACAAAAAAAACCCAACAAAAACAACTGGTGTGTTTGAATATAAAAATTACACAGGTTGTCCAACAACTATTTTTTGGCGCAGCTTTGTAGCATTGTCTATAGGCTATAACAAAACTAGAACAATCTAACGTCCATTCTGCCAAGCACTCACTGCTCATTAATCTCACGAAATGATTTAGACGGTAAATTTACAGTCCAACCTTGAGTTCTGGAAGAAATGCATGTAGTTGCATTATTTATTTTTTTAATCTCTCAGTCTAAAAGTCTTAAGATTATTAAAACATTTTCAGAAAGCTTGGGACCAGCAATAAGAAAAACAGTCACTAGATACATAAACAGTAACTTTGATGCTTTATACCACTTCAGGCAATGACTATGTTGTATTGCATAAGACAAGCAAAGATGTACTCAGCAGTGAATGAATAGCAAATCTTTACATAAAATCAGAGTGTATTATCTTGTAAGCATCATATTTTATAGAGGAAGTATTATGTCACCAAACTGATGGTGGTGCCATTTTTAATGAAAGGCTGAAAGCAGGAAGGGATAGATAAATACTCATCTCGTGGAAAATAAGAGCTAGGGAAAAAAGGAATTTTCATCTCTTGGGTGTTTGTGGGTTTTTTTGGGTTTTTTTTTTTTTTTATAATCTTGTAGTTGTGTAATCCTTTCTCGCTACTGAAGTCCATATTCAAAAAGAATGCAAAATATACTTTTAATTCTTTGATTTTCAAAAAATAAATTAATGAGACACTTTACTGATGATACTATTAAAATCAAGATGATCCTTGAAATAAGATGTTACACCTCAGCAAGCTAACCTTGCAGAGAGGTGGCACTGAAGGTTGGAAACTTGGTTTTTTTTTAAAGTGCCCATTACAACTCAATATAAAGTAGTTTCACTTTCTGAAGAATGACAAGCTAGCATCTTGCATAATTTTCCCTGGCATTCATCAGGAACAAATTGCACTAAAATCAGGAATAGCAATTCTGGGAGGCTGTAACCATGGGGCAGGACAAGCGATAAGAACAAAGGCAAAGGAAGGACAAAGGCCAGATCTAAAACCTGACTCATGCTGCAGGACGTTGGTTTAAAAAAAGACTTGCAATTCTGCCTGTATGAGTCACAAGGCACGGGCCATAACTGCCAAAGAAACAATGAGCATACTATGAAATAAGACTTGAAAAGGAGTCAAATGTTTCAGTTCCAATCAACTGGTACGACATAATGCATTCCAGTCATTGAACCTTCTTTAGCCTTTGAATTGCACGAAGAATTTAAATAATAGATATGAGCAGAAACATACAGATATATTAATTACCAAAATAGCTTTTAAATGATACACCAAAAAAATTATATATGTGATTGTGGTCCAAGTGCAAAAAAAAAAATTAAAAATTACATTTTCTGACGAGACGGTGCCAAACTGCATAAAATATTTATGCCTGTCCAAGAGAAGTGATGCCCTTTTACTCAGTGTAGAGAATGATTCCTTGCACATGGTATAAATTTATATTGTAATAACAACAAACAGATTTTTTTCGTACCAGTTGTGAGATTAAGAATTTAGGCATAAAATTTCATAGAAATCAAAGATTATGGTGTTTTAACTGCTTTTTGGAAATACAGCTGTCATGTAGACCCATACACAACTT